ATGTAACCACTGCCTAGGCTAATGGGACTGTCCCTTTTAATTTTCTATATTTGCATAACTCTGGAAATCTATACTCAAAGCTTTATGCTGTTTCACACGATCCTTGGTCCTAATTCTTACCTTCTGGCTGTCACTGTCTTAACCATTGAAACCAGCAGTGAATGTATTAGTTACAACAGATAGCAAGCTTTTAAATACCCATGGATTTCTTAGCAAAGAGAAACTAAGACCAAGTGACCAGAATATACATTCCAAAAATAATAGACAAATATAAATATATATCTCACAAAACTACTGAAAACCTCAAGTGGTGTTAACCAACCTCAAGTGGTGTTAAACTCATGCAATTTTTCTCGACTTCTTTTGGGTCTTCGCGTGTACCAACAGCTCTGTGCAGGCAAACCCCCAAAACTGACTGTTTAAATTTCTACTTATATTTCTTCATCTGTTAATTCCTTTATAAAGTATTTTTGAGTGGTGTTAAACTCATGCAATTTTTCTCGACTTCTTTGGGTCTTCTGCGTGTACCAACAGCTCTGTGCAGGCAAACCCCCAAAACTGACTGTTTAATTTTCTACTTATATTTCTTCATCTGTTAATTCCTTTATAAAGTATTTTTGCTGGTGAAGGAAACTGGTTTCCTACTTGTTTTCAACAACTGGTTTTTCTTGTCCTGCTGCTGTTTATAAAAAAAGGTTCTGCTTTTGCAAAACAGGTTTTTGAAAGCATTGAGTTCATATTTATTGTCTCATGCAATCAGCCTGAAGCAATTTACTTAGAAGTTAGAAATAAGAGAAGGCATGAGTTGAGCTTCAGACAGCCAGTTCTGAAAAGTTTATCCTTGACCCAGAGTCAATGCAAATTTTGTCTTTCACCTGCACCACCACCACTAATAAAGGCTCTGTATAGACTCACTGGTTTCATTTAATTCTTTGCAACTAGATTTCCTCCAAACCATGATATTCCTATTCCTTACTGTTGTCAACAGGTTTCCACAGGGGAAACAGGATGAAGCTTTGTAAGTATCTCTGTTAGTGATTACAGAAAGGAGAGAATCTACTCCACCTCCCAGAACAGTGTCAGCTCTGCAGGAGAAGCTGAAATAAAAAGCAGCTATTTCTTATTTACTTAGTGCTATCTAGGCCAACAATATGAACAGCTCCCTGGTTATATTCAATTTGCTGATATAACAGAAGACAAAGCAGGTTTCTTTCAGAGTAAAATAGCTCTTTAAAGTTGTTGTTATCACTCAAGCTCTTCGTTATTCCTCAGTGAGCAGAAATTCAGTTTCCCCAGAAGTCATCCACAAATACAAACCTTAAATTTTTAAGACCCGATGTGAGAATTTATGCGCATTCCCCTTTTAAATCCCGCAACCTCTCAAAAGCAGTCCCCCATTATAATTTTTCCTTGTTTCCATAATTTTGAAGGTTATACTAGTTTTACACTGAAATTTCATACAGTTTTTAATCAACTGACTTAATCATAAGGCCCTAAAATCCATCCCGTGGTTACAGCATTGGTAACACCTCTGGGGGCTGAGTACCGCACAACTCTGTCCAGGTTCAGGCCTTATTCTTGCCTTTTCTAGGACACTTACAGTGCCGCTTTCAGACTAGTCTTTGGTTTTTATCATCTCTTGCGCCAGCTATGTCCGATGGGGTTTGAACATTTAAATTCTTCCCTTAAGGAGCGCTGCGTGACCAGGCAGCTCCCTCAAAATGAAAATACTGCCAATTTTAACAGTAGGAAGAAAGTTTATGAAAGGAAGAGAAAAGGCAATTTACACACAATCCACATGCAAGGGAAAGCCCCCTTTAATCCTTAATTATCTTATTTTTGGTGCTTTCCTAGGGTCTGTTCCTCAAACACAGTTTTGTGTTCATCTGGCGCACTTGTAAAATCGCTCAAGTCAGCAAGTTCACAGGTAACAACACTTGGGCATCTACTTGAACGTGACCAACTGTTTCCTTTTCAACTTGTGTTCTGCAAACAGAAGCATTTTAAACCAAAATACATTACTATAGTAACTGCACTAGGAATGACATCAACATATAGCAATCATAAATTACCGATTACAAATTCGTCTAATCCCCTTACACTCAAAAATACTTCCTTGTCATTCTCCTCATCAGTATTCTCTTCTACCACTGCTTTTTACCTAACGCCCATTTTGTCTACTCTTCTGTTGCATGACCATGAGACAAAGCATTCTCCTTAGCATTTTCCATGAGGTAAAGCATTTGGCTTTTCCTAAAGTGCCTCAGGCATTCAAAGCAATATATAACTACTTAGTAACAAGAATATTGATGAGGAAAATGCAGTTTCATAAGTGGTTGGAAACAGGCGCATCAAAGTTCCTGCTCTCTCACAGAAGCTAAAAAATTTGACGCAACATTAAATAGTCATTGCATATACATGCAGACTGCAATTAAAGTTAGGATAAAACAGATGCCATGTTAAAAACACGTTTTCTATGATCCTGGATCTCTATTTAATAATAAATAAATAATAAACTAACTAAATATTGGCTTAATATATTTAAAATAATAAATGAATACATAATAAATAATCATAAACCAGGATTTTGCATTTTTTTAACCATGCATGTATTTCCTGTGAGATACTAATGCATGGCCTGAAAATAACTAGAAAAAACAAACAAAAGTGACATGACTGTAAAATCAAAGGAAAAAGTGAAGAAAAGGAACTTCCCAAATACAACAAACAACTCACACAGAGTTAATTGTCAAAATTCCCAGTGCAAACAATGGAACTGTTGGAGCTGCTTTTTGAAGAAAAGTCACAAGAGATTTTATAGCACAAATACTGAGCAGCTACATAAAGATGTCTCTCAACTCCCACTGTAAACAGAAGAGGTGCGCTAAGGCTAGTTGCTTGATCTACTGTGTTTTCCTTGACTTATTGTGGAGGGCTATAGCATCCTGACCATTAGGATCACTAGGATGAAGCAGCTGCCTAAACCTGCTCCATTTCTCCACTTTGAACACATTAGATACGTGCCTAAAAGGGAATGCAAAAAGAGCTGGGACCATTGTGTAGAAAGCACATCGTGGCGAGACACAGAAGCAGCCAGAGAGTGAGCTACATGACTTGCAAGAAGCAGAGCCAAGAAGTAATTACCTGACGCTTTCCAGAAGAGCATTGAGGTAAATGACTATGCCATCATGTATATTAAGTACAATTTATGTGTTCCAGAAAAATTACTTTAGAGAGAGCACACAGAGTTTTAAAAATTTTCCTGGGAATCAGTCATGCCTTGTCCCCTGTAAAACAAGGTCATTTTGCCGCCCCTGTTGAACAGAAGAGGAGATTTGAACAATAAGGCTGCAGAGAATAATGACTTTCCATGCAGATATTCAGCTATTGCAGTCCAGCACCAAGGCATGAATCATGTAAGCAGTTCTTTAAAGTCTGAGAATGTTTTATAGGCGTAGCAGCATGCAAAGATTTTTGGGAATCAGACGAGATACTCGCAACCACACAGTTAGAAATCACATTACTAGAGAGAAGCAGTAGGCTTCTAGCCAGCGTTAGAGTTAGAAATGGCCACCTTCGGTAGAAAAGCTGCATCTGAAAAGTAAAAGATGAATCCATTTAGGCCAGTCTGAGTAACAAAGAGGGAAATTGGGGGTGATTGCTATTATCACCCTCATCCACATACCGCCCTTCATAAATAAATACTTGGAAAAGATAAATATCTTCTGCTTTATCCAATTCCTACTTTGGCTTCTTTAATTTCTCTTTCAGAGTGGTATTATACTGTCCTGACCTCAGAAGTGATTCAAACAACAGTTCAGGGTTTTGGGGTTGTGGTTTTTGTTTTTTTTTTCCAGAAATGGGTCTATATTTTTAACTTGTTAGCTTTTTTCTTAGAGTTTTAACCTATAAAGTCTTGCAGTTAGGAGAACTAAGACCTGGCCGATGAAAAAGAAATAAAGGTAAGCAAGTCACTTTTGTGACTTCAAATTTTATCCCAAGACACTCAGAGGAAGGAAAAAATGAATTTTCATTTAATTTTTTTTTAATCTGAAATTCTACAGTTTAGATCCACTAGATCCAGACACCATCTTAACAACATACGCAAAACTTATTCTACAAATACTGTTATTGTGCAGTTTGGATTTTCAGGTTGGGAAGCTATCTAGAAGAGAAAAAAATACTTTCCAAGAATGATCACCTGAGGGGAAGAAAAAAAATCAAAATCTTGTTTGGAAGTCTTAGAAGGAAAAAGTAAACAGCGTGTCACTTGCAAGTAGGGGAAAATTTTGAAGACCTTCAAGGCAGAAGTCTAACAGGCATCTCTAACCCAGTTGATTTCATGTCTTGTACTCTCCAGTGGGTACGTACTTGGTCAAGGTCATCTTTCTCATGGTTAAGGAGTATCTAGTGGCATTTACACGCCTGTTCAAATAGTTTCCCTTCAAAAAGGCTTCAAAATACAGTCTCTTCTGTGGATCTCTGCATTCAATTATACGTTATGTTTTTGCAACAAGGGAAAAAAGGAGGGACAGGTACCAAGTCCTTTTGCCTCCCAATATAGCGCAGGAAAAAATCTGCCTTTATAAATACAACATGGGTGCTGACTGGCTGGTGCCTGCTTAACCTAATGAGCTTAAAATCTTATTTGTTGTGGACATCTGTTAAGACAGAAGTGAGGCACGCAAGTCCTCTTAATCCATTAGCTCTAAATCCAGCAGAGCTTTCACACTCCTTTTTTGAATCGAAGAAGAAAACCTGAGTTGGAACGTACAATGGGACAGTGCACAACTTCAAGAGCAGATCCTAGACAGTAAGCACGTGAGATTTCAAGGCAAACAACAATGAAAACTGACAACAAAACTGGGATCATGATGGAAAACTCATGAGAAAAAGGCCAGTCTGTGGATCGGGATGAAACAGTGAGTTCGATTCTTTGTTGTGTTTTCCCTAGTTCATCTGGATTTTTAATCAAAAAGAAAGCCAAAGACGGAGGAAGGATGGGCTGCACACCTTCTCACAGTGAGATTGCTAATACTATTGCAAGAAGTGGTCTTAATGCGTTGAATAAACCCAAAAGTATTTTGCGTATTGATCCAGGACATAAAGGAATCCCTCTGCTGGTTAGAGGTTCATCTTGCTACAATACTAATGAATTCCACCAATGTGGGATCCAGAGGAAAGACTACCTGAGAGAAAAGGAGGATAAACTATCAGAGCAGGACGAAAATGATAATTTGCAGTTATCTTCCAAGGCTCATTCAGATCCCCAGATTTCCAGGGAAGACAAGAAAATTGAGAGGACAGCCAGAGATGCTGACATCATTATGTCCAAACTGATTGAGTCTCAAAAACACATCACTGAGGCCATACAGATCAGAAAGCAAAGCTCCTGTGAATCAGAAGCATCAGCTTTCATTTGGGATGACAAGAATGAAAGCAATGCAAAGCAAATCCCAAAGAAAGGAAAGAAGCAAAAAAATCATAAGCTGGCAAAGCAAGGTCGACCTCGCAAAATTAGAGAAAAGTCCATTTTGGCCCTGTGCGAGACAGAGGAAAAGGTAGATTTCCCAGAACTGCTTGTTAAGGCTCATCAGAGTGCATACGCCTACTTAAATCCCAACCTCTCCAAGTATGAAACTATACTTCACATGGCCAACCAGGCTACCCAAACTCAGCTCTTCCTACAGCAGATGGTAAGCTTCCTTGTGCTTCGCTTTGATGAAATCAACCAGCTCTTGGAAGAAATTGCCAATGACGGGGAAAATCTTCTCAAAGACGTAGGTGGGAATCTGGCATGGCCAGCAGAAAAAGGTGATTTGAAGGAGCACCCTGATCTTCTGCAACAACTGCTGCAGTACACGGTCAATAAGATGCAGTTACTGAGTGGGATGCTGGCCTCCCTCACCTCCGACGCCCTGCAGGAGACATGCAGCTACCTGCAGTCTGCTGCAAACAACTTGGAAGGAAAACTGAAAGCAAAGCAAAGCTTTGATGAGCGCCTGCTACGGACGGTAAAGCTGCTTGAAGCCTCAACAGTGGGATCCCCTCAGTCTCACGGTGATGACAGGACTCTCTATTCTGAGGACAGTGGCATTGGTGTGGACAATGAATCCCTCAAAGAGTTCAGTGCTCTCAGCCAGCATGGAGGACAAGCAAGCCGTGATTCCTGTGCACGTGGACATCTGTCCCAAAAGCATGCCACAACACTGGAGCACGTGCGTGATGGGACAGTATCACCGGGCACAGCCACATCCCATGACTGTGCACTAGAAAGGCATTTTAAAGATACATTTTATTCATCCGTACAGAGCAGGGACACAACTTCTTGTCAGGGTGGAGTACCAGAAGGCATTTTTACCATGCCCCAATATGCAAGCTTGAGCAGAAGCCATTCCTATAACTCCGGCCAGTCTGACTCTACTCAGGAAGGTGAACATTTAAAAATCTGTGAATCAACAGATTTTCCTTCTGATGATGATGATGATGACGACGACGATGAAGGGAGCACCCTGGGGGAGGATGATGACAACACAAGCTTATCAGAAATGGGGAAGGATGCTCTGCCGAGGAGGCCCCTGTCTTCGCCTGCAGTCACTGATAACACAACGATGAAGGAGCACCCTGGGGGAGGATGATGACAATACAAGCTTATCAGAAATGGGGAAGGATGCTCTGCCGAGGAGGCCCCTGTCTTCGCCTGCAGTCACTGATAACACACAAAGGCAGTCCATAAAGAGGACGGAGAATGCAGAGACAGAGGAAATTATTCTGAAGATGAAAGATGCTATCAGTGAAAAAATCAAGTTCGTTCCAGCTAAATCCGGGCGGAGGATGATGACAATACAAGCTTATCAGAAATGGGGAAGGATGCTCTGCCGAGGAGGCCCCTGTCTTCGCCTGCAGTCACTGATAACACACAAAGGCAGTCCATAAAGAGGACGGAGAATGCAGAGACAGAGGAAATTATTCTGAAGATGAAAGATGCTATCAGTGAAAAAATCAAGTTCGTTCCAGCTAAATCCGGGCGTAAAGAATGGATAGAGGATGAGAGCGGAAGAGCAGTCCTAACAACAAGGCCCAGTACAGCAATGGGCAGCCAGAAAACCTTCGGGAAACAACGACGGTCCAGGTCAGAGGAGTCCCTCAGAAGCCACGCAGAGGACCCGACCCTCCTAGAGCTTCAGAGAACTCAAAAAGAGCTCAGCAAAAGGCTGGAAATGTTTTATGGAAAGAAGGATACAGGTAACAATCCAGAGCCTTGGAAATCAAGAACAGCACCTTATTTGCAGGATGACCAAATTACATCTAGGTCCTCTAGCAAACTGAAGGCGTGCCTCTCAAAAAACTTCAGTATCCTGCCTAACCAGGATAAAGTCCCTTTGTTCACGGTTGATCAAAATCCTGCGCATCACCTGGATGAAAAAAGAGGCAGGAAGCCATTAAGAGCTACTGTGCCCACCCAGAAGACATCAGGAGGCAAAGAAAAGGAGCCCCCTGGAGCACAAACGCTCAGTGGCAGCAGCTGTGCCCCCAGACAGTCAGTCAAAAAGCTTATTGAAACATTCAGTCCTACTGATGATCTTGTAAAAGACGCAACTTTAAGATCTTTAGGACCAATAAAGTGCATCAGAAAATTTGGACTTCCAGTCATCCCACCCACCATTCCCCTTCAGAGAGGCCTGGCACCTTTAAATCTTAAGCATCGTATTTCACCAGTAGAAGACACAAACCCTTCAAACACCAGTGGAGTTTCTTCTAGCTTTCCAAATGCCTTTCCTCCTGCACCAGCTGCAGAATTAAGCAAGAAGGACACAAAGGAAGAGACTGATGAAGACATCGAGAACCTGCCACCACCACCACCTGAAATGTTAATGGATGCTTCTTTTGACTTATCTGAGCCTGAAGAAGCTGCAAGAATAGAAGGAAGCTCTTCAGAAGATGCCAAAAAGCTCACCAAAACAGAATTTCATGCTACTAAGAGATCACAAGTTCCCCCAAAAATGAAAGCCTCCCTTCAGTCCATTGACTTATTGCCAAATAAAAATATCAGCGGCCCCAGTGCGATCGCTAATAAAGGTCTAAGGAATACCGGAGCAGGGGACAAGAAACTGCAGAGGTACTCACTGGAGCTGAACCCTACCAACGTGCACATCCCTAGCCAGGAGGAGATATTGGCAACCCAGAGAAAAGAGGCTGCGGATTTGTACAAGCAAACCCATAAAATTATTCCTCTTCAAAATCCCAGTGGGGTTTCAAAACCACACAGCAACAGCTCAGAGAGCAAAGAGCCCAATTCACTTGCAACTTCAGTGCAATACCAGAAGCGCAGTTCTCCTGATTCACTCAGGAAAAACGAAAAAGGCTCAGCATTTGCCAGGAGGGTCTCCCCAACGAGAACTCCTCCTTCTTCTCCACCAACTGAGAAACGGATTTTCAGCCCCGCAACACACCACAGACACTCTCTGCAGGCTTTTAGCAACCCGCAACCGAGCTCACCCACCATGCAGAGGAAACCCAGTCCCCCCTCCAGTCCCAGGGTGCCCAGCCCACCCTTGCAGAAGAAGCTGCCCTCTCCACCACCCCAGAGAAAACCACTCAGCCCTCCCATGGGGCACAAGCAAAGCTCGCCAACGCCCCACCGGCTGCTGGGCTCCCCAGCCTACCGCCGAGATGCAAGCCCCCCTCCATTCCCCACCGCGCCCTCCCCACCAACCTCCCCATCCTGCTCCTACAAGGGGCCGAGAGCTGGGCTGGATGCTGGGGACGAGCACCAGCTCTCCTCCTCCAAGTGGAGCAGCAATGTCCATTCAATATTTTGCCCAGCCACCTCTTCCTTATTCGAAGCCAGACCTCCACTGGTACCCACCAAACCTGCTGCAGAGGTGACCAGCCAGCCTGAAGCTTCACCGCTTTCCCAAAAGAGCAGTCCGCTTTTCCGGCAGCCCGGAGACCGAACCAGAAAGCTGTCCCTGAGCGCTGCCAATCCTCAGCCATTCGTGAGAAGAAGTTTCTCTGACCGCCGACCAGGGGTCCAGTTTCGTCCTCCAGCTCCCGTAACAGCCAGCAGCGAACCCGCGCTTAACCAAGCAAGGTAAGAAAATTTCCACTTTAGGCGAAGGAAGCAGAAGTATAGCACTGCATTGGCTCTCTAAACTCTGGATGGGAATTTAATGTTGTTAAGAGATTTCCCAGAAAAGTGCCCTGTTCACGTGCAGAACAGATGCCTGGACAAAGGCATCTAGTCCATTGTAGTTGGACTAGATGATCATTGTAGGTCCCTTCCAACTGAAATATTCTATTCTATTCTATTGTCTTGCCCCAGATTTCAGTAGACTGCCAGTCTGAATAAAGCGAAGAGTTAACTTTCCATGGCTTGCTCAAGCCTTACACTTACAAATCTGCTGTGACAGGCACCCCAGGGAAAATTCAGTGTTGGTTTCATGGCACAGAACTCCCCTTATTTGCATGGGAGCTAAGGACATCCACATTTAATTCTTAAAAGCTCTGGAGTAACCCTCAGGTTATAAACGTCTTTAAATAACCATGAGAAGGTAGGCTTGGACCAAGAGGAAGGGTATCGTTCCTAACATCAGCCTCTAAGCCAGTAAACTGTGCAGCTGAAATCTGTATTAAAGTGTTTCAAATCAGCTGGCAAGAATGACAGACAGATAATGTGTAGGCAAGGATCTGTATGGACGTAATTATAAAAAAATATATTTTTGAAATCTTGAGCTTCTTGTTTAGGCTTTCAGATCTAGGTGCTGATTTCAAGTCTGACGGGTCCACAGCCCAAGCCCAATTTTCAAAGTGGAAAAACCTCCCATGGCTTCTGGAGGTTCATTGCTCTGAAAAACTCAGTTTAAAGAAATTGAAGCATCAACACATGCCAATTCCATGTTTGCAACCATTGGTGGCCATTTTTAAAAAATCTGGGCTTAGCTTTAAATTTTTTCTACCACTCAAAAAAAAAAAAAAAAAAAAATCACAAAACCAGCTGGGAAACAGAAATGGGTATTTGGGAATACTCAAAGATCAGTGTAACAGCCTGGAAGTACAAAGTGTTGTTATTCTAGTTTCTTAGCATCTTAGGATGTTTAAGTCCATTAAGCTCCAAGCTACACAAGAGGATTAAGACCCTTCTCAGGTAACCTTTCCTCATGTGAGGAGTATTTTTACTCTTGCCACAGAACAGCTGAAATCACATGAGTCATCCCCATGAGTAGGGATTGCAAGACCAACCCTAACAGGAGATAAAATTGCACTTGTAAGTGCACGAGCACTTAGTGCGTTGCGAGTACAGGGACAGTCGTGGACACTGAAGTCAGGTGTCCAGGCATTCCCTCCCCAAAGACAGAATAAGGACCAAGTTTCCCACACTGACAATAGAGGAACGTGCTGAACAAAACATGCAAAAAACACTGGGAAAGGCAAACCGTTTTGCATTCCCAGTTCTAATATTACATTATATTCTGACATTTGAAGATTTCTTAAAAGTCCTGTACATTGTTGCTGGGTTTTCTGTTGTTATGTACTGTGTGAAGTCAGCTTTGTCTACTCCAGTGCTGGCTAGCAGAAATAGATGTTTTCGAAAGAGGCTTTATGTCAAACCTTGCAAGACAAAAGCCCTGGCAGTTTTATGGATCAATTTTAAAACCAGTCTATTATAAATTGTTAGCTAATTTATGCTTCAATGGGGTGTATTATCTTTCTATTGTAGTCTGTCAGAGCATAGAGAGTAATATAAAAAACCCACTGTAAATAAAATCATCCCTTTCATGAAAAAAATTTTATATCCTAGTGTTATGATATACAGCATTCTGGAAGAACGAAATATATCCTGAGCCAAATTCAGCTTACCAGTGACACAAATGGACATCAAAAGTAGTCCTACTGACTTAGTCTAAATTTATAGTAATATAAGCAAAAGGGAAATTTAGCCCATTAATTACCACATGCAGTGATTTAAGATGCAATACACTACTGTCTGTTTTCTTACACTTAAAATAAGCTGCCTGGAGTAAACTTTTACAGACCTTGCACTGAATGGCCTAATACGAATATCACAGCAAATGTGCTGACAGGCAGAGAAGGACCATTTTAGGAATCCCCACGTGGCAAAAGCTCTGAAAGCTCCTCACATCCCTGCTGGTCGTCTCCTCCCGCTGAGGACCGGAGCAGCTGCCACATCTGTGAGCACCACATCCCTATGCACTGATGCTGAGCCCTGCTTTTACAGCAGATGCCATAACAGACAAACTACCACACTCTGATCCATCTTTCTCCTTCAAGTTCATTAAGTATTCAGGGCTTCCTCTGCTTTGCAATTCATTCAGCTGACAGAGGGAAATTTCAAACTGTCTCTCTAAACCAGATGTTGTATACCTAAACCTCCTCATTCTGGCCATGTTTGCATCTGGTCTCAAATTCACAAGCTATTCCCACCCAGCTGTCAGTCTCCTCTCCTTCATTCCTTCCCTTGCTCTACCTCTCCTCTCCAAATATAGCAATGCCTTTTTTTTTTTTGTCTGTGTGGGGGGTTTGTGTGTTATTAGCAGCTTCAAGCACTAGTCACAGGAGGGAGAGGAGACAGAGGCAAACCTGCAATAGCATCACTCTTTTATAGGTAAAACATTTTGAAAATCAGTGAGTTAGCCAGTTTCTCCCATGCTCCCAAACTCCGGGATATATCCCTCCACTTTTTCCATGCCCAATTAAAACATCCATTTGCTGAGAAGCAGATTGCTAAAGATAGGAGCTTGTACAAGCAACATGTTCCTCCTCAGGCAGCTGAGTGCCCTCTCCCACCCGCCCCATTTTAGCAGAAACACCAAAAAAAAGAGGCAACTTCCATCTCATTTTGCTAGCTGGCATTGCCAGGCAGTACCTGTCAGTGGTGTGCGCAGATTTACATGTCTCCTGTACACTCGCTGCTCCCCTAGAAGGCAAAAAGCGCTCCTTTCCCAAGCATGTCTCCTGCCCATCCCATGCTCTAAGGAATATCAGGGCTTAAAACATCGTTAGCCCTAACTAGGGCTGGAGCTAGAGCTTTTGTGTTTAGTCTTAGGGTACCTGGACAAGAGTTTCAGTTTCAGGTTTCAGTGCTCAAGTCGGTACAACTGGTTCCCATTTGGACAGCCTGTGGATGGATAGACTGAGCTAACTTTGCTGGTTTCGAAGCTTGGTCATTTGACAGCAATCAGCAGTTATTGGCATCTTATCAAGGCATAACATGTACAGTTGCTCTGCTAATAGAACTACTGTTAATCTGTAATAGGATTTCTGTATCTATATATATAGATACACACACGTATATAATCTGTAATATGCAGTTAAACAAAATAATATTTCATTGAGACTGCTAATCTCCCAAGAGGTAGAGCAGAGGTAGAAGATTAAACGCTATTGCTTTTAAGATATTGTTCAAGGAGGGCTTGAGAATGGATTGGGCTGACTGAACCAGGCCCAAAGCAAGCAGCCCAAGTGAGACCTACAATCGGGGGATATTTGAATCTGGATTAGTTTCATGACTGGTCATGTATCATAAATCTCTTCATTCAGCAGTTCAAATTATTAAAGTCCTAGCAGTCAGAATAGGAACATAACAGGTTGTCTGCAGTTGAAAGTTAATTCAGTTTAGCAGTTTATGTACTTAAAATACAATAATAATTCCCAGATAACTTTGGAATATTTCCTCATGTTGAGTTTAAACCACTTTAATTAGTTACAGCAACACAGGGCACATTCCAGCACGAAGGCCCATGGCGTCAGATTTTCATGACTAGTTCCACTGCTAATATCAATCTTGATTCATAAAGTCCCTGTGCCCCTAGAGATTGCCAGTGCGACCTCAGGAACATCATTTACACATTCTGTGTCTCAGTTGTTCTGTCTCCAGAATGGCAGATTTATACCACCAGAATACACATCCCACGGTCATGTTGGCATACTCAGAAATCACTGTAACTACGCTAAGCAGATGCGTAACAGAGGTAAGACCTTCCCTCCAGCGGAGTCTGGAACAAGACTTTTCTCTCAAATCTGTCTCTATCTGCAAGTGAACCCAGATTCATACTGATCCCCTGTTAAACATATGAAATATTTGCTTCCCAAGAGAGTTTTGGGAGGGGACGGTACAGTGCATTTGGCATCACAAGAATAAAATCTGGATGGTGCATATAAAGAGCATATATACAGGAGGAGACAGGGAATGACACAGTATCGTGCAGCATTTGTGCTTTATGGGTTAACGTGGTCTAATCAGCGCTGTTTTTAAAAGTCACAATTCATTAGCCTCTTAACTTAAGCATCTTTCCTTCTGCAGCTTGGAGGAGAGCCCTAGAAAAGCAGGCGACTCTTGGAACAGCCCTTGCGTCCCCGAAATCAAAGAGTCCAACAGATCCGCTTCCCACCCCGAGCTCTATGTCGTGGGCCAGGGGCTGCAGAGGGACTGACAGCAGAAGCACCCACGAAGGCAGAGGCACAAGCAAGGCCAGAGGCCCCAGAGGGAGGAAGCAGCCTTACCCAAGCCTCCAAAACGTGGCTTCATTTTTTCTTGCAAGGAAACAATATGATGGCATTGCATCTAAAACTCCAAACTGGCCCCAACAACCCAAGGAAATGTCAGCAGAGTGGTAGCCAGCTGCTTCTCCTTTGAGTTAAACCATGAAATGCAATCCAAAGATTTACACTGAGCGAAAGAAATACTCTGCAGTTGGGTGAGTCCGAGGCAAACTGATTCGATAAAGACAGGACCTGTAGCCAAGTCCTTTGTTTCACTGTTTAGCTAAAGGAGTGAAAAAAACTTTCAGAAATTATCATTATTTGACATGTTATTTATTCAGGAAGCATCACAGTTTCAGTTAGGTAAAAAGCTGCTGTTGTGACATTTCCGGGGCGGGGAGGGGAGGTAAAATCCTGAACCAATTGAGTATTATTGCAAAAACATCAACGGCTTCAGCAAAGTCACATATTTACACTAGGTATTTATCAACGTGCAGAGAGAGAATAAGGTCAAATACAAGTTAAAACAAAATAACCCCTTTTAAAGGAATAAAATTAGGGATCTTATTCCCTCAAAAAGGCTTTGATCTTCTAAATCACCTTTGATTATCATGTAATCTCATGACCTCTAGTTTCCAGGGTACAAGGCTTAATTCTGATTAGAGTAGTTTTGTAATAGCCCAATCAAACAACATTATAAATCCTGAGGCACCTAAGGACATGTTTGTTTGTTTGTTTTTTTAAGAGAATGCTAGCATAGAGAATCCTGTTCTCCCCCAAACAGGTTTATATTCTTTCTGATTTATGCAGTTTGACGGGATTTTTTTGTAATTTCACTGAAGAGTCTAGACTGATTCTTGTTAATAAAAACACAAGTTATTTACAGTCGATTAATCCTAGGCTTTTACAGCACCCACTGGAATACCGTTTCAGAATTTACTGGATCTTGCTCACCTAACTAATTTATCATCAGAATTAGAATGCAACTTTTAATTAATGTAATTTTAATTAATTTAATTTGATGTGTTTTCATACGCAACTTTAGTACAGAACAAGATCCAGAAAAAAAGCCATTTGTAGTCCTATTTTGATAGGAATAGTTTTAATTTTTCCTACAGTTTTCATGATGGTGGTAGCTGGGCACTTCACCTTCACACAGGATTTTTAACCCTTCCAGACCACCTTCATGATGGGGGAACTGAGGCTTGTCTTATGCCGTACAAGGGACCCCTTTGGATACTGAACTCCTGAGTTTTAGTCCAGTGCCTTAATCACAACCATCCTTCTCCAATTATCCCAGTGCCATTTTATGACACAGACACAAGGAAAACTTAAATTGTCGTATTTCAGGTGAGGTACTGAATAGAAAGAAGTAACTCGCAGTGAACAGATGCTTTGGATCGTCAGGGGTTTGTGAGCTTGAGGTGGCAAAGCAGCCATACCCATAGCGTACAGCTAGGAGATGTCAACAGATCCACCTCGTAATCACACAGGCAGATGCACCATCCCCTATTAAATTGGGAAATCACAAGGGAGGTGCTGCAAAGATCATCAGCAGGGCAAACTCTGCAGGCCAGTCTTCCCCCTCATCAGAAGTGTAGTTCTCTCCCAGCTGCATAAAAATACAAATACACTTGCAGGCATTTTGGGGGTCTCTCTTCTGCTGGCAGTAACCACCCAGAATAGAGACAGACCAAAAACGTGACAGCAGAAAACCAGGACCTTGCATCCCTAAATGTAGCTTTGAAGATGAAAATGTAACAGAGTGGGAGGACAGCTTCTGCTCAGCTACTACAATCATTTTACCTCTTTATGGTTTCGTGCTTAAATTTCCCAGCATCCATGGTGGGTGGTAAGAGAAAGTATTTATTTGTATCCCCCAAGCGCCAAATTCTTCTGTGGTGTAAAAGCTACAGCAGCACATGGAGCAACACTTCACTTCAGCAATCAAGCTGGAAACCTCCTCACACGTGTGCTAGCTGGACATGGAGTCAGCCAAAGCATCTTTCCCCGAAAACCTGGCTCCCCTGAAGACGTGGTACATGAGCTGGCATCCTACCACAGCATCTCTCCCAGCTTTGACTCAGGCTGTGGTCATCAGGAGGCTCGTTGCAAACACAACCCCACCTAAACGCTGCAGCTGCTGAAGGATTCTGATGCTACCCTAAGGATGCTGCAGCAAACTGAGCACTGCATTCAGGAAACAGAGCTTCTCCAGGAGGGATCTACAAGTTTGTAATACGAACTCATGACTATATACAACTAATGGATTCTCTTCAGTACGGTTAATGTACAGGACTAATGCAAATAAGGTGTTGACCTTCAATTTGTATTGCAAGCATGAGATAAAGAGTAACTATAGTATGCAGGAAATGATAGTTTGGCTGGCCACTTTTTAAAAAAAAAACACAACACTTTTTTTTTTTACAGGTTTTTTGGACAACACTTCCATTTTTCATGAATACAACATTTCTGGAATACAATTGTTTTATAAGACCAGACTCAACTTTAAGATTTATTTTTTACTGATGTAAATAAATCAGAGTTTTTCTATGTAAGGTATGAGTTTGATCTCTTACATTCTGTATGGAACCGGCTTAAATCTTAGCCCAATGTTATACTATTGATTCCTTCCTTAGCACACTAACTAGTGCCCTGTGCTATAAAAAGTCCATTTGCTTCCTCCCCACCACAGCACAAGCCTGTCTTGTTTTATGTTTTACTGGTACACCGATTAATTTAGGTTGCATTAAGCAAATATGTCTTTTTAAGCCACAAGATCCAGCCTGGACACTGACAGACCAGAGCATCGGTCAGCCGTGCTTCCACCCTTCCCCTGCCCTGATTTAAGCTTGAGCTACCTGGCAATTTTGTGCTCAGTTCAGTAGAGTTTCTATGTACAACCACAGCTAATTCGAGCACGGGGTAGTGGTTTTGTCCTAAGGGTTAAAACCAGAGTGCACCCGCTGCACTGGAGTCTCATTGCAGAGGGGCTGAGCCCAGAGTGAAGCGGTATCAGTTTTCCAGCCAGGGCTTCACAGCTGTGAAAACAGCAGCTAGCAGCTCCGTGCTGCACTGTATCTGCAGACCTTTAACAAGCTGGCAGCTGCCCTTGCTTCCAGTGACACTCCTCAAATCGCAAACCTTTAAGGGACTTGTCATTTCATACCCTCAATATCTGAAGATGACTAGAATACGAAAGCACTATACACACTCCAGTTACATCTTTTGACTTCAAGAACTACCCCAGATACTAGCAATATGGTTGACAATACTATGCAGGTTACCAATAAAACCAGTATTTTACAGTGTTTGCACTGCCACACCTCTTAACATCCAAAGCATTTCATAATCGCTTGTGAAGTTTTATCATTAAGAGGAATGTTCTGAGAAGTTATCCCCTTTGCTATAGGTAGGAAGGAAAGAAATCACAGCACAGAGATGAAGTAACCTGTTCTTACTGTCATGTCTCATCAGTAAGGAGCTGCCAACATCTCGTGAAGAGAAATCCTTCTAGATTAGCAAATCATTAATCCTTCCACATCAGATACGCTCAGTGCCATCATGACCACCGCATGGATAGATGCATCTTGCAGACATGAACTTCAAACTGAGATTTTGATCTTCCTGGGCAAGACCCTGAAGGTTTCATAACGCTTGCAGTATGGATTAGGGGCTCGCTTCCACGTCGGCCTCAGGTAAACACAAAGGTTAATACAAACTCACAGCTGTATATTGGATCATCTGAAAATTGGGCGCAAAGATCCCAAGTTTGCATTTCTTGCTCACTGCCCATTTTGGATGAATAATGAAAATATTAATGTCAAAAACAGATGTGCAGATACAGGCAGTAAATACTCAGCAGGGCAAGGTGATCAAGACCCAGGACCATGTTATCCCTCTGATCTCATTTCCCTTCGTCTCACAGCTGCCCGCCCTGCATCTATCCTGTTCCACCATTGCTAGCACAAAATTACCTACAGCCTTCACCATCCCTAATTGCTCTCCACTTTACCGATGTTCTGAATTTCAAAATCTGGCCTCTTACCTCTCCTCATCGTATTCTTTTCTCTTTCTTTACTAGTATACAATTCTGTGACTGCATTAAGTAACCCTGTGAGGATTTCTGAAGTTACCAAGGTTATTTTAAAGGAGAAAGGGGTGATAAGCCTATCTTACTCCATATGAATCCCTCCTGCTTTAATAAAATTTTCCTTGAGGCACAGATGAGTTGATTATATAGCAATTAAAGAGAAACTGAAAGCTTTCAGTGCTATAGGCTGCCTTTCATTATTATTACTGCAACTGAACCACTGGGTCTTTACTATATGAATGAACGAAAGCTGCAGCCTGAGGATGCTAACAAAGACCCGTCCTTCCCCAGAGCAGTAACTGTGAAGCTGCGAACAAAACTTTCCAGGCATTCCAGCAGACACACAAAGATACGTAGCAAGGCCGAGATGACTCTACAGATAAAACCTAAACCGACAAATTCTCTAGCTGCTTGGCTTTTAAATGTGACTGTAAGCAGTCAACCTAGCAGGGCAATTTCCATCTTGCAGCCGTACCCCCTCGTATAACTAGTATCAGTTTAATATCTCTTACATCCAAACTGGAAACTGAACCTGCCGGTACAATACAATGGCTTTTTTTTTTCTTCTTCATGTTTTCCTCCACTTTGAAGCTTTGTGTCTCTTTGCTTGTACATATAGTTAACGTGGACAATCAGGGCACAAGGCAATGCATCTTTCTGGACTTTTTTGAATATTGAGGTTTTTATCAATAACCTGATATCCATGCAGATCCTTTCATCTTTATATTTCAGAGAAAACACATGCATATAATACGTGCACTAATTATCATAAGAGACCTGGCATACAAGTAGGTTTCCATAGCACAGTTTTTCAGGTGGATAAGCCAGGGAACGGAGAGCATCAGGGATGCCCTGCTG